GGCCCCGCCCAGGGTGCGGATGCGGTACTCCAGGATGGCCCTGGCAGCCTCTGGGTGGAACATCAGGATATTCGGGAACATCCAGAGGTCCTGAGAGCACGGTCCCTTGTTCAAGCACTGGACAGGCTCTCACGTCTCCCTCCCGCCTGGCCACATTTCCCCCTGGCACAGCTCTACTGCTGGCGCCTTCTGGGTTCCTCCTCTGCTGCCCACTCAGATCTGCAGGCCCTCTCCACCTGCCCACCCAGTTCTGTCTCCAGCTCAGATGCTCCCTTTGTTCTGGTCCTCAGCCCCACACTTTGGCTCCCCAGCCGGTGTTCGTGTGCCCAGAGGCTCCGGCCGAATGTGGACGTGGGTAGCCTCAGGCCGACCGACCTGCAGTAATGACTTGGCCTCTGGGAGCCTCATCAGAGAAAAGGGCCACAGCACCAGCATGGGAAGGCTCAGACAATGATGGAGCAGTCCCAGCTCTCACTCTCCACACCTCCACGCCCAGCAGCCACCATGCCCCCTCCCTTGTGCCCTCGGTGTCCCCATCACCCTCTTTGGCCTCCAGCTCCAGGCTCCACGCAGTAGCCCCACAGGTCTTCCCAGTGCCCAGAGGTCCCCTCCTGATCAAAGTCTCTGCAGCTCTGCTGGCCCTCAGGTAAACTCCAAGCGCCACACAGCTGTGCAGAAACCCTGGAGACCTGGGCCTGCAGCCCTTCCCTCCCTGGTGGGGGCCCCTCCCCTGGCCCTGGTGGGGGCCTCAGGCCCTCTCAGCTCTGGTCTCCACACCTTCCATTCCCCTCACCGAGATCACTCCTCCACACCCTCCTGCTGAGACACCACCTTCTGTAGGCCTCTTCCCGTGTGCCACAGTCCCTGTGCTTCCCAGGGAGGGCAGGGGCAGGGGCAGGGGACCTCTGTGCGTCACCTGCTGTGTGCCTGGTGCTGGGTGTACAACGCTCACCTGGTCCCAGAAGACGTGGCCCCAGTAGCATTCCTCACGGCTCCCATTGGAGAGGCCCCCAGGACTGAGGCCATGGCAGATGTATCCTGGGGCCTTGGGCTGGGGCAGGGCACTGAGCAGGTAGTAGAGGGAGCCACGCAGGGCCTGGCGCAGGGGCAGGGGCCCCACCACGTCCAAGCCACATTCTGCCCAGAGCTGGGCCCAGGCCAGTGCGTGGGCCGCGTACAGAGCTCCCCCTGCCTGCAGCCGAAGGGCTTCCTCGAGGCAGGCCTGAGCTTCGGCCTGGCTGCCACCCACCACGGTCAGGAAGTCCCAGGTCTCCTCCTCCTCGCCTTCCCCAAGTGTCAGGTCTGGGGGCGTGGGTGTCCACAGCATGTGCACCTCCTGCTGCGGCCCCCCGGGCTGCTCCGGGGTGAGCGTGTGGCCGTACAGGTACCTGCGAGTGTAGAGTGTGGCCGTGTCTCAACGATGAGCTCCCTCCCTGGGCTCCCTGGCTGCAGACCCAGCCCCCTCCTTACCGGGCTCCCTGGAAGTCAGGACCCAGATGCAGGTCCAGGTCTGGGCTTTCCGGGGAGAAGGCTGACGGCAGCAGCAGCGTGATGGGCCCGCTCCCCGCAGCCAGGCGGGCGATGGACACACGGAAAGCCAGGACGTGGGGCAGTGTGCGGTGCGCATAGATGCACTGGGAGGCCCGGAAGTGGGGGCCCTCCAGGGTGTGAAGAAAGGAGCCTGCGGAGGCAGAAGGGAAGACAGGACCACTCGAGAGGGGTTGCCAAGCTGCCGCCTCCTGGGCCAGGAGTGGACCCCCGGGCCGCCTCTCCCCTCCACGGGGCAGATCCATTCCGACGCTCGGCTGCTCATTTTCGGAAGCTACAGCTGCCTCGGGGGCCTCGGGCTGCTGCCCTGTCCAGGTGGCCTCTAGGCCGAGGGCGGGGGACCCTGAGGGCCTCTGGGGCCTCCTGTCTCAGTGAAACGTCCCCTGTACACTCAGGAGGTGCTGGGGGCATTTGCGGCTGTGCCCCCCACCTGGAACGATGCCTGGGGCAGGGGTGGGGCAGGCCAGGTGTGATACCTGTGTTGGTGTCCAGGGCGAAGGTCTCGGTCAGCTGCTCCCCCATCCCTGCAGGGGCCTCCAGCCTGACGTTGAGGGGGCTGGGCAGCATTGCCCGGTGCGTGTCCCCGCCAGCACCATTGTACACGCCGCTCACATGCAGCGCGTGGTGAAACACTCGTGTGCCCAGGAATGCGTTGGTCACAGTGGCCAAGAGGCGGGGGTCACTGGGCAGCCAGTGCGCAGCAAACGTGGTGGGGTCCTCCATGGAAATGCTGCTAGGCCAGGGTGGCCTGCTGGGGGTCAGGGGCCCGGGGACCGGCTGGGCCTCCTTCTTGAGGCCGTCCATCATCCTCTGAAGCCTCCCTCAGAAGTGGGGGGAGTTGCGGAACCAGCTGGGCGCCCCGGTTTTCCTGAGGCCCCTCCTAGGAGGAAAACACCCAGGACAGGAGCTCAGCTCTGAGATGCTCGAACCCGGAGAGCTGATCTCCAGGAACCCAGCAGAGTCCCCAAGCTTGTGTGTCCCACGGGGCCCCTCAGAAGTCCAACCCTAACCCTGCTGTCCAAACACGACCCCGCAACCCCCGCCTCGCCCCACCTTCTGTGGTCGGCCCGCCAGGCTGGAGGGGAGTGGAAGTGGGGGAAAGGAGGTGGACCCTGTGTGTGTGTGGGGCGGGAAGGGGAGTGTGGGTGTGTGTGGGGGGTGGAGTAGGGGGTATGTGGGGGGGAAGGGGAGTGTGGGTGTGTGTGGGGTGGAGTAGGGAGTATGTGGGGGGGAGGGGAGTGTGGGTGTGTGTAGGGTGGGGCGGGGGTGTGGGGGGGCGGGGAGTGGGGGGTATGTGAGGGTGGGGGATGGGGAGTCGGGCTGCCAGGGGCACTGAGGAGACGGGGCGCTGGGCGGGTGGGGGTGTCGGGGCCGTGGGCGGGTGGGGGTGTCGGGGCCGTGGGTGGGTGGGGGTGTCGGGGCAGTGGGTGGGTGGGGGTGTCGGGGCAGGGGCGGGGCTGTCGGGGCCGTGGGCGGGCGGGGGTGTCGGGGCAGTGGGCGGGCGGGGGTGTCGGGGCAGGGGCGGGGCTGTCGGGGCAGTGGGCGGGCGGGGGTGTCGGGGCAGGGGCGGGGCTGTCGGGGCAGTGGGTGGGTGGGGGTGTCGGGGCAGGGGCGGGGCTGTCGGGGCCGTGGGCAGGCGGGGGTGTCGGGGCAGGGGCGGGGCTGTCGGGGCCGTGGGCGGGCGGGGGTGTCGGGGCAGTGGGCGGGCGGGGGTGTCGGGGCAGGGGCGGGGCTGTCGGGGCCGTGGGCGGGCGGGGGTGTCGGGGCAGGGGCGGGGCTGTCGGGGCCGTGGGCGGGCGGGGGTGTCGGGGCAGGGGCGGGGCTGTCGGGGCCGTGGGCGGGCGGGGGTGTCGGGGCAGTGGGCGGGCGGGGGTGTCGGGGCAGGGGCGGGGCTGTCGGGGCCGTGGGCGGGTGGGGGTGTCGGGGCCGTGGGTGGGTGGGGGTGTCGGGGCAGTGGGCGGGCGGGGGTGTCGGGGCAGGGGCGGGGCTGTCGGGGCCGTGGGTGGGTGGGGGTGTCGGGGCAGTGGGCGGGCGGGGGTGTCGGGGCAGGGGCGGGGCTGTCGGGGCCGTGGGCGGGCGGGGGTGTCGGGGGAGGATGGGGTCTCAGATTCTCTGGGTGGGGGGGCTGGGCGGGCAGCGGAGGGGAGGCTGGCGCGGCGGGGAGCGGGACGGGCCGGGGCCTCTGGGACTCACCGCAGCCCCCCCCCACCAGGTCGCCGGGCGCCAGCGCGGGAACCCGCGTCCGTCTGCTCCGCGCGGGTCCGGGAGGGAGGAAGGAGGAGCTGCCCGGCCGCGGCGCCACCAGGAAGGTCCGCGGTCCCCGCCCCCGAGGGCCGGGGCGGGCGCTGGGCCGCGGGGTGGGACGTGGCCTCGGGCTGCAGTCCGGGCTCCCCTCGGTCCCCGCCGGCGGGGCCTGGTGGTCGCGTCCCGGGCCCGGCGTTCGTGGCCCCCGAGCCGTGTTTGGGGGGGCGCCCTCCCCGCGGCCTGAGGACTCGGGAAAAGGGTCCCCCACGCGGGTGAGACCCCGGCCCGGCCGCCGTCGGGAGGGAGTTCAGGGCGGGGCCGGAAGGAAGCGGAAGGCGGGAGCGGAGCGTTTCCGGCCGCGACTCTCCTCAGGGACGCCCGGCCGCGCCGTTCCCGCCCGTTTCTCCGCCGTCTGCCTTTGCCGCCCTGACGGGTCCGGCCGCTTCCCCGTGTGGGGTTTTCCCTCCTCCCGCCGCCGCCCCGTGCGGTTCCATCTCCGTCCTCGGTCCCCCGTCCCGGCCCCCCAGGCGCCCTGCGCAGCGCAGACGGCCCCGCCTGACCCCGCTGCTCCCACGGCCTCCCCCGCGGCGACGTGACGCGGCACCCGTGGGTCCGTCGCCCGCACCCATCCCACCCATGGGCGGGCGCTGTGGCCGCACCTCCGGGCCGCCGTCGAGGCCTCCCGCACCCCCTCCCGTCCCAGCTCCTCTTTTGTGGTTAACAGACACCCCACCCCCAACATTGACGGCGGACCCCGCCCTCCGCGCAGGAGGCTGTCATGGCGCCCGACTCACCGAGGAGGGGCCCAGAGCTGCCCCGCGCGAGCGCCACCCGCGACCCCCTCCTGCGCCTGCCTTGCTTCCCTGACCTCCTCCCCTCCCCTCCCCGACTCCCCCGCGGCTACCTGGCTTTCCTGCTGCTTCTAGAACTTTCCAAGCACGCCCCCCCCCCCCCACTCTTCCTGGCTTGCTGGGCAGCCTCATTGTCTGGAGCGCATTTTCTCCAGACGTCTTGGGGGCCGCCCCCTTAGTCCTTGGGGTTTTCGAATGGCCAGTCGTCAATCAGACTTCCCCAGGCCCCTTTCATGCACCGGGGAAGCCTGGGCTCCATGCCCAGCAGCCCGTCTCTGCTCTCCCCTCCTAGGTTTGCCTGTCCGTCAAACCGTGTTACACGTGTGTGCATCGTGGGCAAATGTGTATAAATGTGTGTATCATAAACACATGTACTGATTTATTGGAGCTGGGGGGGGTCTCCCTGCGGCCCGGGCTGGACTGCAGTGGCTCAATCATACCGGGTTGGGGCAAAAGTAATGGCGGTTTTTGCTGATTTCCAGGCAACCTGATAGCTCACTGCGTCCCGGAACTCCTAGGCCCAAGCCTCGAACCCCCGCCGCAGCCTCTCCAGTATCTGGGACCGCAGGCACGTGCCGCCACACCTGGCAGACGTGTGTGTATAGCAGACGTAGTGCCACTGCACGGTGTCACACGCGTGTCGTGCATTGACGTTCATATACGTATTTACTGTATTATCCTACGTATCGTGTAGGTTTTGTGTTCCTACCTGGAGTGTCAGCTCTAGGAGGACAGGGATTTTTGTGTTTTGTGAAATGAAGGAATGGACTTAGAAAGTGGATTTTAGAAGGGGATTTCCGCTGGGAAGTGATGGGGCTGCATCCAGAGTCTCCCTCACCCCCCACGCACACACACACACTGGGGTCTCAGCGGCCCAGCACGGTTGAGCAGAGAAGACTCCAGGACCCGAGGACTGTCCACTGCTGGCCCTGTCCATCAAGGCCAAGCCTTGTCGCAGCGGTTTCTGCAGTCAGGCAGCCCCTGAGATTCGAGCCGGAGCCATCATCCTGCCTTGTGAAAGTGGGATGCTGGAAAGCTTGTGAGCACCTAGCTGCACCAGGCCTGGCCAGGTGTAACAGAAGCCAACGGCAATGAATACGCTGGAGAATGCATCAATCACCAGGGCATGGGGGCTGCTCGCCACCGTGTGCTCACCACTCCCACCCAGCACCGGGCTTCTGCTCTGCCTCTGCCCTGGCCTCCCTTCCCAAAGTCCTCAGACACTGGACACCTCTGGGTCTAGGCCACAGCCTCAGGGATGGTCTCATTCTTAACAGGGACGGTCACCTGCCTACCTTCAGTCTACAGTGGCACAGTTATGGAGGCTACTGGGCCATTCTGCCAGGTTGGGCTCAGGCAGCGAAGGGTCATTCCGCCAGTTCTGTAGGTGTTTAGTTAATTGGAGTTCTCACCGTCGTTAGTGTGGCTTGGTGGGGGTGGGGGTCTTCAAGGGGAATGACTGGAGGGTCCCAGGAGAGGAAGGAGGGTGCAGTAGTGGTGGGGCTGGGGGAGGAGGGGTCCCCCAGAGTGTGGAGAGAGGGGCAGGTGCCGGGCCTGTCCTGGACGGGGTAGGGTGCTGTGTCTGGGCCTCCCACATGCCTGTCCAGGGCCTCTGGGCTCAAACGTTTCCCAGAGGTGAGGGCAGGGTCCTGCGATTCTCTCCACAGGGACTCAGACTAGGGTCTTCCACCCTGCTCTGGCCACCTGGGCCTCAGAAGGTTGAGCTGAGTTCCTTGGGAGGTTCTGGGTGGCCGTCCAGTGCTGGGTGTGCGATGACCAGATCGGGCTTGGCTCTCTTCACATCCCGGAGCTCCTGTAGTGACTGCTCGCTCAGCTCCACAGAGGCCAGACTGCAGCCACACACACAGAGCAGAAGCGGGGTCAGTGGTGGAAAGCAGCATGCTGCGGGAGCAGGTGGGCTGCGGGCAGTGGCATGGCTGTCGGCTGAGGTGTGCCACAGACACTCAGTGACAGGCAGTGACAGGTTGATTCGGAGGTTTGTCAGATGCTAGGGGAGGGGCAGAGGCAGGGCCTTGGGGGTGGCAAAACGGTATTGGGGTCACTGGCCCAGGCTGTGGGCCAGATAAACAGATGAACGTGTGGTCAGGCAAAGTGGTCGAGGCCCAGCGCTGTCGCCAGGGCTCCAGAGGGCGGGCCTGTCAGGGCCAGGTTCCCAGGTTGGTGTTTGAGCTCCGTCGGTTGGGAGGCCCTGGGAGCCCCTCTTCTGGGTCCAGGTGAAGCCTCCAGGCACCCACCCCCACCCTGGGTTGACAGGCTGTGTCCCCAGTACCCTTCCCACCCCGGCCTCCACCTGAGGGTCTGCAGGCTGCATCCCGGGTGCTGCAGGACTGCACACAGGTAGGTCACCATAGGGGCAGGCAGCTGGCAGCCGCTGAGATCCAGGGTGGTCAGGGCAGGGCTCTCCCGAAGCATGGGCATCAGGTACTGCAGCCCTCGCTGGGGGCCAGACAGCTGCACCCTGTGGGAGGGCGGACCTCAGGAGCTGCCGGGTGGTGGGGGCATCCCTCAGCCCTCCCAGGCGGGGCCTCACCTGAACGTCTGCACCTGGCACCGGGGCCAGGCTAGGCCCTCACTCAGCATACGCAGGCCGGCCTCACTGAGCCTGTTGTGGAGGAGGCTCAGCTCCGTCAGCGTGGGGGCTGCCCTCAGGGCCTCGGAGAGGTCTCGGCAGACTGCGTCAGGGAGTTTGCAGTGGGACAGCCTGTGGTCAAGAAGCACGTAGATTTACCTGCAGGCGCCTCAGCTGCCACTCCACCTCCAACTGCACAAACTGCCCAAGGTTCAGCTGAGAGAGGCCTGGGCACCACACTCCTCCCTGGATGCTGCCGAGCCTGCCCTGCCCTTTGTAACCACGCACCCTTGGAGAGCTGTGTCCACTTCTCCCTGTGACACACACTCTTTTTTTTTTTTTTTTTTTTTTGAGATGGAGTCTCTGTCACCCAGGCTGGAGTGCAGTGGCACGATCTCTGCTCACTGAAACCTCCACCTCCCGGGTTCAAGCAATTCTCTGCCTCAGCCTCCAAAGTAGCTGGGATTACAGGCACCCGCCACCACACCTGTCTAATGTTTGTATTTTTAGTAGAGACGGGGGTTTCACCGTCTTGGCCAGGCTGGTCTTGAACTCCTGACCTTATCCGCCCACCTCAGCTTCCCAAAGTGCTGGGATTACAGGCATGAGCCACTGCGCCCGGCCCCTACGACACTCTGCACTAGCTCTTCGGTGAGCTGAGACAGACACGTTTCAGCAGGTTTGCCACACATTCGTCCGCCAGGTTGAGCTGCGCCAACTCAGTGACTTAAGCCAGTCCCTAGAGCTTGGCTGGATGTGCTATTTCTATTTTTTTTTCACCATTATAAATAATGGTGTGCTGAGCATCTTAGGTTACCAGCAGAATTGCTGGGCCAACTGTGGTCACCTTTTTGGCTCTCATGTTTAAATCCACCCCCACACCAAGCTCCTTTGCTGAGCCTTGCTGAACGTGTGAGGCACCTGTTTCACCAGGCTCCATCAGTACTAGGTCCTGTATTTTCTCCTTTCTGCCCACCTGGTGGCAGAGAAGAGTAACTGCAAAGTCACTGCCACGTAAGAACTGTGCATGGAAGAACGTAAGTCTCACCCCAGCTCTGCGGATCTACTGACGCCCTTCACAGGGGAGGAAACAAGCTTAGACAGACGGACTTGCCACTGGGCACACAGAAGCAGGCTAGGATTTGCAGACAGCCTGACCCTGGAGCCTGAGCCCCAACACCGTCCTCCACTGCTTCTAAGAACCCAGTCGTTTCCAGTGGCAGCTTCCCTCGGAAGGAAAATACACTCTTGCCTTCTTTAATCCCTCCCTCAGCGCGCTTAGCTGCTTTCCACTCACACCGGGACCAGCCTTTTCCTACCAGCCCGTAACCTGGTAATGACGCCCCAGACCCCATCCCCTCCTCCCTCGCTCTGCGTGGGGAAAGCCTGCCAGCCCTAGCACCAGCACCAGAGGCCTCCGGGTCTGGCCTGACCCCTTAGCCTTCTTTCCTAGGCCACACTTCTGTCTCTGCCCAGGGCATCCTGCTCTCAGCCCCCTCCATGGGAAGGGCTGGGGGCATGGCCACTCACGTGAGGCTGTTCAGACAGCACAGGGGGTCAGTCATCGCCTGAAACAGTGGATGAAGAAGGGAGGCTGGCAGTTGTTTTGCAGTGGCTCGAGAACTGCTGGGGGAGAGAGGAAGGTGAAGCCCACCCTGCCCCTCACAGACTCCCAGAAAGGACCCCTCCCCATCTCTAGTCCACCCTAACCCCTCACGGCCTCCCAGAAAGGACCCCTTCCTATCTCCAGTCCTGCAGTCTCAGAGCTGCCTCCTCACTTCCAAGCTGAGCAACCCCCTTCTCCCTCCCCGAACCAATCCCAGAATGAAACCACTCATCTGTGGCCCTCGTACCATCCCACTGGGGTATTTAAGTGAGACCAGTGAGAGGGTGTCAGCCACATCCCCCACATGGGTGTTTGGGTCCCCAGGCCCAGTCCTTGCCAACATCGTGACATTCATTCTCTTAACAGATGCCAAGCACCTGGGTAGGAACTGAATTGGAGTTAAATTCAAAGAACTCTGGCAAAAGCCTTGCCCTGGAGGAGCTGAGGGTCTGGTGGAGGCCTGGGGCAGATGTCATGGCAGGGTGGTCAACAGGGCACTTCTGGAGCCAGCTGGGGGAGCCAAGGCAGACCTCTAGGACAGGCCGCAAACAGAATATTCTAGGTGGAGGGAATGGCAAGGCAGAGGTTCAGGGCACAGAGGGCATCGTTTGTTCCAGAACTCATTGTCAGAAAGTATAATGGGAAGAAGGGCTGGGCCAGAGCTGAAGGGCCATACTAGGAAGTTTCCATAGGCTGTGGATGGCTGAGGGTGGGCATGGTGAGGACACCTGGGGAAGAAGAGAGGCACTCGGTTGCCTTGCCAGGGGGTGGTCAAACCTCCCCATCTGGGGAGCCAGGGTCTGATCTGGACATGCTCCCCATGCCAGATGGACATAGGTGCCTGGGTTATGCACCGAACACAAACTTCCCAGATGGACACAGGTGCCCGGGTTGTGCACTGAACACAAACTTCCCAAATGGATACAGGTGCCCGGGTTATGCACTGCACACACACACACCTGCCAGATGGACACAGGTGCATGGATTATGCACTGCACACACATACACCTGCCAGATGGACACATGTGCATGGGTTATGCACCGCACACACACACACACACCTGCCAGATGGACACAGGTGCACGGGTTATGCACCGCATACACACCTGCAAGATGGACACAGGTGCACGGGTTCTGCACCGCACACACACCTGCAAGATGGACACGTGCACGGGTTCTGCACCACACACACCTACAGATGGACATAGGTGCCTGGGTCATGCACTGCACACACACTCCCAGATGGACACAGGTGCACGGGTTATGCACCGCACACACACCTGCCAGATGGACACAGGTGCATGGGTTATGCCCCGCACACACACCTGCCAGATGGACACAGGTGCACGGGTTATGCCCCGCACACACACTTGCAAGATGGACATAGGTGCCTGGGTCATGCACTGCACACACAGTCCCAGATGGACACAGGTGGATGGGTTATGCCCCGCACACACACCTGCAAGATGGACACATGTGCACGGGTTCTGCACCACACACACCTGCAGATGGACATAGGTGCCTGGGTCATGCACTGCACACACACTCCCAGATGGACACAGGTGGATGGGTTATGCCCCGCACACACACCTCCCAGACGAGAACATCTCTGCCCCAAAGACGCACCTGCTGCCACCCAGGCTGGCCTGCAGCCGCTTCCCCAGGCTCTTCTTCTTCTTCTCCTGTGCAGCAACCAGTCTGCAGCTGATCAGCCGCAGTGCCTGTCCAGGGGGGCAGCACCTCACGCAGTAGCTCAGAACAGCCACATCCATGCGGCTGAAGCGCATTCGCTGCAGCACCAACTCGGGGAGCCCGCTCAGGGCCTGGCGCACAAACGCGTCCTCCTGCGTCTCGTACAGGCAGTACAGCAGCTCCAGCGAATAGTTGGGCTCCTCTCCCTCCTCCTCCTCCTCCTCCTCTTCCTCTGGCTCCTCCGTGTCCTCAAGCCCTTTGGCCCCCTCGGTCACCTCTGGTGCCGCTCCCCGGCAGCCCTGTCCCTGCACCCACCTCAGGGCCTCCTGCTTCACATGATCCGAGACCCTGCAGCCGAAGTGGCGCTGGATGTCGCCCATTCGCTCCGCGCTCAGTAGTCCGAAGAGGAAGCGCGTGGTGAGCACCAAGTGGCTGTGGGGCTGGGCGTCCCCACGCAGGAGTGTCCGCACGCCGCCGGCCGCGGTCCCGGGCACGCCCTCGTCCTCCAGCAGGTAAGACAGTGCAGCGAGGAACTCCTGGAAGCTCAGGTCGAGGAACTGGTAGGTGACCTCCGTCTCCAGCACGCCCGGCCGCTCCTTCTTGCTAAAAAACTGCGTCTGGACTTTGGAGTCACGAAGCTCCAGTTGCTCCAGTTCCTCCTCTGCAAACTGCGCCCTGCGCTCGAGGACGCCCTTGCGGGCCAGGCGGCACAGTTTGCGCAGGTCGCCCTGCACTCGGGGCCGGTCGGCTGCGGGAGCCGAGCTCAGCACGCTGGCGACGAAAAGCAGGTACACGGACGTGGTGGTCTTGGACGTGCGCGACAGGTCCCGGCCGAGCTCCAGCTGCTGGTGCAGCACCGTGCACACGATCCAGCACACGAAGGGCACGAAGCACAGCGCGAACAGCGTCTCGTTCTCCTTCACGAAGCGGTAGGCGCGCTCGGCCCTCTTCTCGTTCCCGAAGAACTTGTAGAAATACTTCTTTTTGTCCTTGTCGGAGAAGCCGCGAACCTCCGCGCACTGCGGGGAGCACAGGCGGCCCTGCAGCCTCCCGGGGTCGGTGGCGCGCGTGGTCACCAGCAGGAGGGCCGAGGGCAGCAGCGCCTTGTTCAGCAGCCCGCCCAGCACCCGCGCGCCGCTCGCCGCCTCGAAGGGGTCCGTGCAGGGCGCGGCCTCGGGGCCCTCCAGCGCCGGCAGCTCGTCCGCGCCGTCCAGGATGAAGAGCAGCCGCTCCGGCTGTGCCAGCATCCGCTGCACCGGCGCGCCGCGGTCAGGGCACTGGTCCAGGATCAGGTCGGCCAGGCTGCGCGCGCCGGGCCGCTCCAGCAGCTCGCCGCAGGGCAGGAAGAAGGCGAAATCCACCTGGCCCTGGTAGAGCTTGCCCGCCGCCCAGTCGTACAGGATCTTCTTGGCCGCCATGGTCTTGCCGATGCCCGCCGGGCCCTGCAGCACCACGGTCAGCGGCCGCCGGCCCTCCTCGTCGCCGCGGAAGAGGCGGTTGAACGTGTGGGTGTCCGAGCGCCGCGCGCGCTGCGGCTCGGGCTCTTCCGCGGTCCCCAGCGCCTCCCCCAACGGGGCGGCGCTCTCGTGCGCGATGAGCAGCTTGGTGAAGCGCTTGGTGATCTTCACGGAGCGGGCGTTCCTCTCCGTCACCCGCGCGTGCCGCTGCAGCACGTGCTCCCGGTACTTCTTCTTGTACTCTGGGCGGAGGGGAGAGGGCGCGGGATGAGGTCGGGGCGGGGTGGGCTGCGACGGCCGCGCTACGGAAGCCCTCGCTCTCCCTAGCCCCGCTCAGGCCTCAGTTTCCCCTGCGGGACCACAGTCCGCGCCCCTGCCGGCCCTCCCCACCCGGTCCTCCCGGGGACCCTCCGAGTGGGGCTGGGACGCTTGCGCCCCAGCCTCGGGCTCTAGCCTGTGCCCCAGCGAGAAACACCCACCGGACACGGACAGCAGCGCCGCGGGGTCGAAGCCGAGCCCTGCAAGGGAAACGGGGTGAGGCTCAGCCGAGGGCGGGAACAGGCAGAAGGCGCCACGGGGGTCCCAGTCACCCCGAGGAGCACGCGGCATCCTAGCTAGGGGCCCGCGAATTTGTGGATGAAACGCGTGGGCGGGGGCGCGCCGGGGTTTCTCGGGGACGCGGGGAGGAGGGCGGTCCAGCCTCTGCCCCGCCCGGAGGGACCTCCTGCCCCGAGCTCACGCCGCAGCTGTTGCTCCTGGAGCTGCGCCGCCACGTCGCGCGCGTCCGCCCTCTTCAGGGTCTTGCGGGCCACCTCCAGCGCGGGCTCCGGGCCGTAGAACTGGGCCAGCTGCTCCGCGAGGTCCATCGGGTCCGCGCGCTCCAGCCGCCCCCATGGGATGCTGCGTCCATCCGAGCCCACGTCGCGCAGCTTGTGGCGGAAGCGCTTCAGCTGCTCCTGGCTCAGGTCCTCCAGCGCGGCCTGGAGCAGCTCGCGGGCCACGGCAAAGCGTGCCCCGGTGCTGCAGGTGGGCGGGCGCGGGTTAATGGGTGGGCGACCCTTAGGGGCCTCTGGCATCCGAGAGCCCACCGAAGGCAGGGCCTCAGGGAGCCCGGGACAAGCATTGTGTGTATCCGGAGTGGAGGACCCCAGACTTTGCCCTCCCCTCCCTGTCCCGGGTGGCGACATCTTGGTGTTCTTCACTTTCTGGGGGTGACGTGGGCACTGGCCACCGCTGACCCGAGCTCTGGGGGGCACCTTTCTCCCCTGCACCTCCCTTTCTGCTTCTGTCCTTCCACACCCCAGACCAGGCCAGGCCAGTGGCCCCAGGGAGGCATTTCCAAGGGACCCTGGGCTCTCTTTCCTTCTTTCCTCTCTCTTCCCAAGCCTGGAGCAGAGCTGGCCTCTGTGGCAGCAGACACTGCCAGGCCCGGGCGGTGTTCCTGGGGTCCCCACCCTGGCCGCCCTTGGTGGGGCCAGGGCCTGAGCCTGAGCCTCTGGTGAGGAACAGACTCCACAAATGCCCTCTGTGGGGATGCAGACTTAGACTTCTAAGCCTGAGGATGGGGGTAGTGGAAGGATGTGGAGAGCCAAGGGGCTCCAAGGGTGGAGAGCCCCAGGGACTCAGCGGGTGAGGTGGAGGCCCCAGAGATATTCCCAGTGACCACCCGGGGGTCAGCACTCACCTGGAGCAGGGGGCGTCTGACTGGTCCATGGGGTATCTTCCTCCCTGGGTCTAGCACTCAGGGGCAGAGGTGGGGACCAGAGAGGTGATTCCTTCACAGGCTTTCACAGGCTGAGCTGGAGCGAAGCCTTAGAGGTTGTCCAGCCCGGTCCATTCCCCGGGTTCACACACCCCATCTCAGCTGGTATGAGAAGCCATTGTGCGCTGTGGCACACGCACAGCATTGCCCTTTAAGGGCTCAGCTTGGTGAACTTTGATTTTCTCACTCATTTATTCCATTAATGTTCCCCAAGAACCCTTGGGTGTGGCATCAGGGCATGGCTGCGAGTAGGTGGCTTTCACCTGCTTCCGCTGAGAGTGGGAACAGGTGGAAGGTGCCATGGGGGTCTGAGTCACCCCGAGGGGCACATGGGGTCCTAGCTCTGGGGCCCGAGAATTTGGGTTTCTCAGGGACTTGGGGAGGAGGGTCCAGGAATTAAAAGTGGATAGATCTCTCTCTCAGCCACTGCCCAGACAGGAGGGACCTCCCACCCCAAGTTCCAGGAGGAGCCTGGCAGCAGCAGCCTGGGAACACAGCCAGGTGGACCCTTCCTTGCTTTTCTTGCTTCCCAACCTCCTGCTGGGGCCCCTACCTGTCTCACCTGACTGCTGGGCACAGAGGGAGAGGGAGAGTGGCCTGGAGGGGGCTGGCGCGGTGTGTGTGTGTGTGTGTGTGTGTGTGCCTGTGTGTGTGCCTTTCAAAGGACTTTCATGAACATGAACACATCTTGCTGGTTCTCACGGTAACTCTAGCTTTGTCTGTCACAATGGTGGCCTGGGTTCAGGGTTCAGTTCCTGACTTAGGGAATGAGTCCTTTCTGGTTTGATATTTGAGTGACCTTTACCATTTATTAATTATCTGCCCTTCCAGGAACTCTCTTGAATTTTTCCTTCTCTGAGCACCTGTGAGGTTACCTTTGGTAAAGTTCAAAAGCCAGAAACATTGGCTTTTGTATAAAGCTGAGTAATAAGAGGTTTAAAATGATTTTTTTTTTTTAAAGAGCACTAGGGTTAACAGTAAGCTTAATTAAAAGTGGATATTCATGCTCTGACAGCCTGGGACTCCTTGGCAAAAACGGAGGAGGTGTCACAGACCCTGTTTTGGAAAAACAAAAACGAACAAACAAAAAAAACCTCTGTTTTTTTTTTTTTCATGGCACCCCAGGAATTAAAAGTGGATAGATCTCTCTCAAAATCTAAGGCTCTGTTCTGTTCTACGTTGCATTATCTGACGTTCTTGATTTTTGAGGGTATCAGAAATTACCTTGCATTATGAGAGAGTGTTGATGTGCAATAACTAGGTAGGAAATACATCTTTAGGAATGGCTAATGGCAGTTATAGGATCAGAGAGGCATGCTCCTGGCCACCTAGAAGGTGAGGAAATGTCCCCAGCCCCCCACGGGGGATGCGCTAATTATAAAACGGACCGATTGGTGTAAAATCGTTGCACTGTCTTGTTCATAGTGTTTCTCTTTTGGGGATCTAGGATCCAGTGTTAAAACGGGACCCTTCATTTTCGGGGATCCCTTTTGTCTTCCAGCTGTGGTTGCTTATGAGGCTGTAGAAACTGCACACTTTCCCAGGTCTGTCCCCGCCACGGCTCCGCCTTGCAGCCACTTATCCAATTAAGAAACTGGCAAATGAAAAATCTTACTACTGGATTTTCTTCAGTCTTTGTATTTATATGTGTTGTGTGTATGATATAAAAGAGCTTTGATTAGTTGGTTTAAACATAATGTGCTTAAATAAAATATTTTGTCAGAAAAGGAAAAACTGGCCAGGTGTGGTGGCTCACGCCTGTAATCCTAGCACTTTGGGAGGCAGAGGTAGGCAGATCACCTGAGGTTAGGAGTTCCAGACCAGCCTGGCCAACATTGTGAAACCCGTCTCTATTAAAATACAAAAATTAGCCGGTGTCATGGTGCCTGCCTGTAATCCCAGCTACTCGGGAGGCTGAGGCAGGAGAATCGCTTGAACCTGGGAGGCAGAGGTTACAGTGAGCCGAGATTGTGCCACTGCACTCCAGCCTGGGCAAGAAGAGTGAAACTCTGTCTCAGAAAAACAAAACAAAACAAAACAAAACTATAATGCCTTTTGGTTCATGTGACTTTAATAAGCGTTGGGAAATAAAGACAAGTTTTAAATATATTTGGTAAAATAAAAATGTCTTCAAAATGTAGACATAAGTCTAAATCGGGCAGGTCAGTCAGATAGATACTAGGCTTGCTAGTTGCTTTAAGGTCATAAAATGCTTCTTTAGCTTTTAAAAATTATTCATTTTCCCTACTTTTTTTGTTTTTTGAGATGGAGCTTTGGTCTGTCACCCAGGCTGGAGTGCAGTGGCGCAATTTCAGCTCACTGCAACGTCCGCCTCCCAGATGCAAGCAATTCTTCTGCCTCAGCTTCCTGAGTAGCTGGGGTTCCAGGCGTGCACCACCATGGTGGGCTAATTTCTGTATTTTTAGTAGAGGCGGGGTTTCACCGTGTTTGCCAGGCTGGTCTCGAACTCCTGATTTTGTGATGTGCCTGCCTTGGCCTCCCGAAGTGCTGAGATTACAGGCGTGAGCCACCATGCCCGGCCTCATTTTTCCCACGTTGGAGCATTGGGTTCTAGATAAGGCTTGGGGACATGTGAAGAGCCACACCTCCTAGCTCTGTTGGAAAGGGTCAGCCCTTATCTGCACTTCTGTCTAATGTTCTCGGCTCCACACCTTGTTCATAATTACAATTGCTTACTAATGAGATTTTTCACCAAAAGTGAAAGTTGCTAAGAGTTAACAGTATAACGTGTTTCAGGCTATTAAAGAAACAGCTCTATTCATAAGGAAAGTGGAATACGCTTTTGGCAAAAGATTATAAGAAGGCATGGGAATGTGGATTTCTTGAGTTTAGAGGGTTAAAGAATTCTTTAAGTGAGATAGAAAAAATTAAAAGTTTGAACAAGTTGTGGAAGTTTATAAAAAATTAATTGTAAAAGATATTCTGTGAACATATTGAATAAAGTTAAAGGGGTATTCAGTTTTTCTCTAAATTAAACATTAATATAAAAGCACCAGGGCCGGGCGCGGTGGCTCACGCCTGTAATCCCAGCACTTTGGGAGGCCGAGGCGGGTGGATCACGAGGTCAAGAGATCGAGACCATCCTGGTCAATATGGTGAAACCCTGTCTCTACTAAAAATACAAAAAATTAGCTGGGCATGGTGGCGTGTGCCTGTAATCCCAGCTACTCAGGAGGCTGAGACAGGAGAATTGCCTGAACCCAGGAGGCAGAGGTTGCGGTGAGCCGAGATCGAGCCATTGCACTCCAGCCCAGGTAACGAGAGCAAAACTCCATCTCAAAAAAAAAAGGAAAAAGCACCACAGGGTTTTCTTAGGGTACTGACTGCTCTTTAACAAAAACTGTAAAGGGTTACAAAAGGTTTATGAGAATCTTACATTATAGTCCAACTGATTAAGATTGGATTGATTTGTCTATAAGATTTTATTAATAATTGGGGTTGACATTAATAGCACATTAATGCAAAGGGTAAAATTTGGTTAATTTGTATAAAAATCATACAGAAAGAATTGTCAAATGTCAAATGGTATTTGGCTCTCTTTTGGCTGTATTTGTGTAAATATGTTACTGGTATGTGTTCCAAAAAATGGGAAACTCCTATAATTCTGATATGATTTAGTGTATGTTATCATTAATAATGATAATTGTCACATAAAATCATTGTATGTTGACTGGTCATGGTGGCTCATGCCTGTAATCCCAGCACGTTGGGAGGCCAACGTGGGCAGATCAATTGAGAACAGCCTGGCCAACATGGTGGAACCCCATCTATACTGAAAATACAAAAATTAGCGAGACATGGTGGTGCACACCTGTAATCCCGGCTACTTGGGAAGCTGAGGCAGGAGAATTGCTTGAATCTGGGAGACGGAGTTTGCAATGAGCTGAGATTGCACGACTATACTCCAGCCTGGGTGACAGAGTGAGACTCTATTTCAAAAAAACAACATTGTATGCCACAGAGGTAACCAAATTTCTTTGTCAATCATGTTTTTGACTGAGGCTGCCCTAAAACTTTTTGTCACTCACAGACAATTGTTGTCTTGTTTTGGTCCTCTTTAGAAGGTGGTTTTATAATCAACATTAGAACTCTAACAGATGTTCTTAAATTCAGGGTTCTTATAACTTTGGAGATTCTGACATTAGAATAGAGGAAAAACTTTCAGGCATCCACTTTCTCGGTCCCAGCGTGCACCATCAAGATATAATCCGTGGATATAAACACCATCTTCTGGCGATGTGTCAGATGTGTCAGATGGGATAACCTCAAATTCGTATCCTAGCAAATCAATAGGGGTAGTATATTTTCTGGCATAATTCTGCATAGCTCCAGTTAAAAAGGCCTGGGTGAAAAAGAAACCTGGAGATACGGACTATTCATGAATATCAAACAGAATGAGGGTTAACTGCATGGATTGATCTAATAGAAAACTGAAGTAATTTTTCCTTTTTATAATGAAAGAAAGAAAGAGAAAGAGAAAAGAGGGAGAGAGAACAGGAGTCTTGCTCTATTGCCCAGGCTGGAATGCAATCTAAAAGTAGGTATTAAAAACCTCTTTTATGCCGATAATTGTGCTTAACAGTGGAGACCCGGAAGGAATAAGGGAAGAAAATAACAAACAAACAGCCAACCAATATTTCATTTAAATCTGTGAAATGCTATGCGAATGCTGAAGAGTGATTTGTTTCCATTTATGTGGTCACTTTCAAAATAGGTGTAAAGTGATACTAAAAAAAATGTAGGTTCTGTGGACCTGGGTGAAGAATTCTATAAATATTCACTGAGTTTACTTGTTCCGGGTCTGAGTTCAAATCATAAATGTCCCTGTTAATTTTCTATCTTGTCGATCCGTCGAATATTAACAAGGTGGTGTAAAAATCTCCCACTATTATTGTGTGGGAGTCCAAGTCTCTTTATAAGTCATTGAAAACTTGTCTTATGTATCTGGGTGTTCCTATACTGGGTGCATATATATTTATGATCATTGACTCCTGTTGTTGCATTGATCCTTTTATCATTATGTAATGTCCTTCTTTGTTTATTTTAGTCTTTGTTACTATTAAAGTCTATTTTGTCAGAGACAAAAGTTACAACTCCTGTATTTTTTTTTCCTCTCCATTTGATTGGTGAGTCTTCCTCCAACCTTTTGTTTTGAGTCTTTGTGTGTCCTTGCTTATGAGATGGATCTGGATACAGAGTGCAGATGTGTTTTGACTTTTTATTCAGTTTGCATATCTATGTCTTTGATTGGGGTGTTTAATCCATTTAAATTTAGGATTAATATTGATATTTGTGAGTTTAATATTGTCATTTAATGCTAGCTGGCTATTTTGCCCATTAGTTGATATAGATTCTTCATTATGGAGATACTCTTTACATTTTGGTAAGTTTTTGGGATGACTGATACTGGTTGTTCCTTTCTGTGTGTAGTGCTTCCTTCAGAAGCTCTTGTAAAGCAGAGTATTTTTTTTTTTTAAGGTGGAATCTCACTCTATCACCCAGGCTGGAGGGCAATGGCATGATCTCAGCTCATTGCAACCTCCGCCCCCTGGGTTCATGTGATTCTCCTG